TCTCTATATTAAAATTTTCATCATTGCATCTCTAAAACCACATATCCAAATCAATCAAGGAAAATTCAACAATGCCATTTCTCAAAAGACATGGATCAAAACCAACGCATAAAAGACACCAGATCATAACTGGAAAAAAACCACCAAATCTAAAAACTCTCAACACACACCAAAGTATTACTTGCTTAGCAAGTGAGAAACTAGACATCACTTCAACTTTTTCTTTGCATTGACCTCCTTCCCTAACACCCAAAGTGGGTTTTTTTAAGCAGCTTATTGGATCAGTTACTTCACACATACTCTCAAACTTTTAGCAGTAAAATCTGGTTTAGTGAAGTTCAACTTGTTTCTCTACCACAAAAATACAAACTTCTCATTTTGAACATTCAAAATAAAAGCACTTACAGTAGCCAGGCAAACAAATAAGTATTTAAAGCCACACACAGAGCATAGAGATGACATATAATAATATGAGGTTATTTCTTTTGATACCCCTTAAAGCCTCAACTATAGGTTTACTTACAAAGAGGCCTTTAACAAATTTCCCTGATAAGTCACAAACAGTTGTCATTTTTTTAAAAATCAAAAGGCTTCATTTTCAATATTATTGTGACTATGTGTTAAGGTAATAATGTGTATACATTAAACTACCAGTTATATGAGCAATTAATTGTCATCATACAGATACCTTAGATATGTTTTGTAGGCAGTTGCTTAATAGTTTGCAACATGAATGGGGAAAAGGAAGGAAAACAAGAATATGCTAATACCAAAGCTACCTTTCAAACACTTAAACAAAAATATCTTACTGCAACTGCACTGAAAAGAACAGCAATAAACTTGGACTGCAAAGCATCATGAGAATGTGGGTATTTATGGTGTCATTCCCTGAAAGAAAGGAACCTACAGAGGATCCAAAGCAAACTGAATTGCACAGGATGAACATGCACATTGGAACCATGGACCACAGCAGGATCAGGATAAACACAGTAGGCACACATTGTCACCAGTCTATCAGTTATGTTCCTTCCCTGACACAACTGGTCCCTACATCCATCATCAAGATTCAAGTTGAGTGATGATTATTTTTTAATCTCCCAACTGAATTTTCAGAGATCCCTCCCCAGAAAACTGTGATCTAGCACAGTTTGCTTTGAGTAGAAAAGGACATGATGAAAACATGGCTCCATGGGAAGCCAAAACTGCAGCCCTTCCTTCCATCCAGCTCAGCAAGAAATGTTCAGCACTGCACAGGCACTTCTCACTTGTCTATTGCTGCAGCAAATGTTTGTTGCAATGTGAATGACATGATGAACATACCACAAACAGTAGAATGATAGCTATTAAAGCCAAAAATATCAAACAGACTGGAAAAGCATTTTGACAAGGAGGAAACATTAAACCAGATCTTTGTAGCATTTGCTAAATAGAGAGACTCATCATATTTCGGGCCATTTGTATTTAATTGTCCTTTCATCTGAAGAGCGGTGGATGAATGCACATCAGATGAGTCAGATGTTCTGAAGAGGTCCCATCAAGGACACCCCACAACACAAGAGCACTGCCTGAAAAATGCCTCACACAACAACTTCTCAGTGCCTTGGCTCATTCCATGTTGGTTAGGCATTGAAGCACTGAGAAGAAAACAGCAAACAGACCTGCAGTGGCAAAATGCAAGCACTTTAAACACATTCAACAGCTGGAACTATCGATGCAGGGTGACTCCAGCATAGGGAATAACGTGCTCTGACTCCATGATTTCAGAAGGCTGAAGAATTGCTTTATTAAGCTATGTTATATTATACTAATACTATACTAAAACTATACTAAAGAGATACTATATATACTAAAAGGATACTAAAGAAATACCCGTGACAGTCACAACACAGCTTTGACCCAATTGGTCGATCAATCCAGCAGAGTCCAATTAACAAACTAAACAATCTCCATAACTCATTTCACATGTGCCAAACAACAGGAGCAGCAAGTGAAGATAAGAATTGTTTTCTCTTCTGTAAGCTTCTCACTGCCTTCCCCCGAAAAAATCCTAGGGGAGAGAATTATGTCTCTCTCTGTTGAGAGAATGTGGATACCACAAGGAACCTCCATGCCTTTCAACCTCCCAGGAAGACACACTCAGATTAGTGGATAATTATCTAAAACTCAGGCTTTTGTCCCTCCTTTGCTTTAGTTTAAAGGAAAAAAGTACTCTTATTTCTCAAGGTCAATGTTTTCAGTTGAAGTCAAACTCACAATGGAAGAGGTCACTCACAACACTTCAAGAATCAGGTTTTGAAGTGGCAGACACACATTTTAACAGTGTCAGTTCAAAGAAATGAGAATCCCTGGTCTTTGGTGGAGAAAGTAGGCAAGCCATGGGCATGGAGACACAGAGCAACACAGGACATTAAATCTACTCCTCTGTCCTTGAGCTAAACCTGTGTGTCTTTTATACTGTCCTCTAATCCTTAGATTAGTTTCTCCACTTTGACTTTAACAATATTAACTGAAGTGCAGAGGCAATCAGCAGATCACAGCTTTGCCAAAAATTCGGTTGAATCATTAAAAGTGATTTATAAAAATAGACCATGAATAAAAATCATCAGTCATAATCCTCAACTGTTAAACTGTCTCTCCGCATTAAACACAAAAATTGGAATTGTTAATTCAAGGTAAACATGGAAAAGAACTCATCTCTATATTCCTTTCAATTCAGCTCTCAAATCAAATCCTATCTCCACACGACAACAAATAGGAAAAGGGGTAGCTTGTGTTTTAACAAAGAACAGCTCACTTTACGTAGCCTACATACTGCAATTTAAAGCATTTTCAAGTATAAATTCTAGCATTAGCATTATTTTGTAATCTTGAAGTGAAACAATTTAGGTCCTTATTATCTGTTTTTCCTTTTTTCGTCAACACAGCTCCTCCTAGGATGCAGATGATCCTCTTAAGTCATCTTTGTGCTGTTATCTCTGCAAAGAATGATGTCTGCTCCAGAACACTGCCATTGCTAATCACTCAAATCAGGTCTCTCACAGGTCTATAAGGAGGAACAGCGCTGAGGGCAGCAGAATAAAGATGAGATTGTTGTTTTTCTTTCTTTTCAAGGAATCTATCTAAATACATCCCTTCACTTTCATGGATCACTTGTCCTGCCAAGGGTACGTTCCACTGTGCAAAAGCTGCAGCTGCCTGGGGTTTATATTGTCTGAGAAACAACAGAACAACGTACTTGAGACACTGCACACAGCACAGATGAAAAACAGAGTGAAGCAGCTTCACAAATGGAGCTGTATATACATAACTAATGACAAAAAGTAGGGACACCTGTATCAAAACAGGTAAGAAAGCTGTTTGAGGCTCAGGGGAGTTAAAAGTGACTAAACATTAGTGCAGCATTATGGGCTCTGGGGCCCCAGACAGGGTCCCTCAGGATGGCATCCCTTCCCTCCAGCATGTCATCCACATGGTACAGCTTGTGTCACAAACTTGCTGAGGGTGCCCTCAATCCCACTGTCCTTGTCACTGACAAACAGCACTGGTCCCAGTACCAGTGCCTCAGGAACACCACTCCCCACTGACCTCAAGCCCATGATTGCAGAGTTGGAGCCACTATTTATCCTGAGTCAGCCACACATCAAACCCTTGTCTCTCCATTTAAAGACAGGATGTCATGTGGGAAAGTGTCAAATGCTTTGCACAGGTCCAGGTAGATGATGTCAGTTGCCCTTCCCTCATCCACCATTTCTGTAACCCTATCATAGAAGGCCACCAGATTTGTCAGGTGAAGCCATGTTGGCTGTCCTTATTTCCCATATACTTAGCATCATTTCCAGGAGGATCTGTTCCATGATCATGCCAGGCACACAGGTGAGTCTGACCAATCTGTAGTGCCCCAGGTCTTCCTTATCTACCTTTTTTTAAATCAGGGTTATGTTTCCCTTTTTTCATTGGGAACTTCACTAAACTGCCACAGCTTCTCAAGTATGATGGATGGTGGCCTAGTCAGTTGCTCTGTCAGTTCCTTTAGGGCCCATGGACTTGTGCACCTTCAGGTTCCTAAAATGGTCTCAAACCTGGTCTTCTCCGAAAGTAAGCACTGCTTCCCTCTCCTTGTCCCTGCCTTTGCCCTCTGCAACTTGGGCCACGTGGCTGGAGAAGTTTTGGATTGGTTGATTGAAACTCTTCGGCCTTTTTTAGAACAAGGCAAGTCTTCAGAAGTTTCACAGGTTCTCTTTAATATCTCACTGAAGTTTAATGCCCTGGATGACTACACTCTGAGTGGCACCTGGGCAGATCAATAATCTGATTTTAAGCCAACAAAGCTGCACCTCAAACAAAGCCCACCTTCTGCCTGTTCCCCCATCTCTGCTTTCCTGAACACATCCCCTCCTTCACTCACCCTACAACTCAAAGTGGAGACTTCTCCAGGAGCACAAGGGATCGAGAGTAAGCTTAGTGGGCAGAAGTTCTGGATCAGCCATCAACCACATGTCTCAAACACATCACAAGTTTTTGTTCCTGCCCCCACGGTACTGGGAATTTCCACTCTTCTCAGCTGCAGTACAAGCCAGCAGAATTGTATGGCTGTGCAAGCCTTTCCCATGGATCAGAGAGACCACTGGTTGTGATTTGTGGGGTGCTGGTCTGGAGTTTCAGACAAAAATAGTGCTACACCTGGGCAAAGTCCCACATCCTCTGCTCAGCTGCACTGCAGGCACAGCTTACACCTGCACACACTGATACCTGAGAGAACTTGGAATTTTTACTAAGGCTGATTCCACCAAGGAAAAAAAATCAGTTCCTGAATGCAAAAGCCTTTTGAAAGAAACGATTGAATCTTACTAATTTCTAAATTTACAAGAAGAGAAAGCAAAGGTTTGTGCTGCAGCATTTGAGACTGTTCTATTGGGAAACTGTTCTGATTATTTTAATGCACAAAAAAAAAAAAAAAAAGAAAGGAAAAAAATGGAGAGAGGGTAGAAATGACAATTTACCTGAGATGCTCCATTTAGGCAAGGAACTGAAACTGGGGTGCTCCCCAGCTCCAAGCAGTGTTCAGGTGCTGTGCTCTGCTGCCCACTGGGAACCACGGCGTGCCTTCCAAGCTGCCCGTAGTCCACTCTGCCCCAGGTGAACACCTTGCCAGCTTCTAAACACAAAATACATTTCAAGATTACTTATTCACCAAGTTCCTGAAACTTGTGGATGCCAATTCAAAACCAGAACTTGTAAATGCATCTCATCTACAGCTTCAAAAGCCTGGTGAGAAGTCATTTCTTGGAACAGAACAAAAGCAAAACATTAAAAACTAGCTCAGGATATTATGTTATATTTCTATGAAGTGTACTTCTATGAACTCATTCTTCATTTACTTGTTTTCTAGCAGAATAACATCTGAATGATGGCCTGGGTTGTAAATAAACCATGTCAGTAAAGCTGCATAACCTGGATATTCTGTATACAATAAATACATTTTGGTTAAACAAAGGACATATTTTAGGTTAATAGAAGCACAAACAAAACAGCTTATTCTTGTACATAAAAGAGAATTATTTTCTATTCCCATTCTTTGCCATAGACAATTCATTCCATGACCTGCATTTAACAGAGTTTTATGTTTTCCTGATAGAAGTTACATTCTGTCACTCGTGTTAGCAGAGCTATAGTCCTCAGGAGACAGCTGGTTAGTCGGAGCACCAGCACAACTGCCATTAAGCATTGGAAATGGTTTGTTTTCACAGGAATCACACACTGGCCAAGGAAAGGCAACTTTAAATGAAATCAGCACTATATGGCTCATCCTTCTCTCCAAGGGTTATTATTCCAAGTGTACTGCTGCAGGACTGACAACCAAAACATCATTCTCCTGTATGGATAACATCCATAAACATCCTTCTTACCTTTGCTTTCCTTGAATTAAAAAAAAAAATCAAAGTGACAGCTTTATTTTCTTAATGAAGTGATTAGCTCCCTGCAGATAAGCCTGTCCCTTCTGGGCTTCCAACTGAAAAAGTTATATACACACAGCAGAAGGTAAAGTCCTCAACTTGGTTTTAAGTGGAAGCATGAGCCCACATTCCAGCCCAGAAAGAAACCTGCAATGACCTTGAGTAATGTTCAGCCAAGCCTCAAACTGCTCTCCAGAGCTGAACTCAAATCATCACATTTATAGGCCAAAAGATGTGGATATGGGGAAAAAACCATGCAGCCAGCAAGTCAGCTGCACACACACCCACACCTCTCCCTGCCCCACAGAGGGGTCAGGTGCAGGGGGTACGGTCACACCACCCAAAGGTGACAACTGAGAGGTTTCTAAACAGATGCCAAAACACAAACCCTTGGAAATCTGAACACCTCCCTTTTCCTGTCTTGATAGGGACACAGGTGGGCACTGCTGGTTTGTGGAGTTTAAGGTGATAAGGCATTTTGTAAATGAACTGGAAACCTCAGTTCATATACAGAAGTATAGGCATTTTCCTTGGAAATCTGCTGGCAGTGGTATCATTCACTCCAATCACTGCAAGTTTTTCAGATGCATTCCCTCAGTTCACTGATAATGCTTCCCCTAAAATAATTAAGTGATAAAATTAGTTGTCCTTCTCTCTCAAGGGCACAAAGTTTTTTTCCTTTGCAGATTCCTCTTAGTTCAGGGAAAAGCTGAAAACAGTCACATACTACATTTAATACAAGTGAGGCCTTTTAACATAGTAGTTACATTTTGTTAGGTTAAAGGATAAAAATAAATTTCATTAAGAGAATTACCACTGTATCTTGGATTAGGAAGACAGTTTGAGGTTTAAAAAACATGGTTGTTCTGAAGTTAGTATATTTACTTTGCAATTTATATAGATCTCTGCTAAAAATATCTGCAGCTGCAAAAATGTACATAAAAAATTTGAACATATACTAAGCTTCAGGCTTTTACATCAGACCAGGTCACTTTGTACAGAACCCTATTAGTGGACTGAGAAAGGATAAGTAGGCTGCTCTATTTTATATTAAATACAGGAACTGAAACTGAGTTTTATGAAATCTAAAGCCAGAAAGAATTTTTGTAACATCTAGTTAGATCATTAATTTACCACAGGCTCTCAAGCCCTACCCAGACATTGCTGTATTGATCCCAAGAACTGTAGTTGAATTAAAGCATTTCAACTCTCAGAAGCCAAAAGTATCAAGTGCCACAGGCAAAAACATCAGCAAGCTGCAAGGCCTCTAAGAAGGCAAGCTTTGAATTGGTAATGCAGACCCAGATCCTCACACAGTCCGCAGCACTAAACATACACAGAGGCAACAAAGGTTTCTCTCAACTCAACCTTTTGGGGAAACAAGTCCTTCCTCAAATGAATCTGGTGTTCTGTCTGGACCCAGACAGGAACAAGAAACACCACAAAAGGACTCACAAAACAAAAATGAACCTTTGCACCATCCCACCAGGGTACTGCTCCAGTGCAACTCAAGACTGCAAATATATATGAAGGATTACAACAGCAACGATGCTTAGCTGCAACAAAACACCTGCCACCCACAGATTCTATTTTCTTTCACTGAACAAGCTAGCAGAGAACCACTTACACATGCAAAACCAAACAGAAGCCTTAGCAGAATGTAAACTATTTCTGCAAAACATAAATGTAAAATGTTTCAGATTACAAACACAGACCACTGCAATTAACTTTTTCTTTTCTGCCACAATAAGGGAAACAGGTTTCAGGTGGTTATTAGTACTCAAGCATGGAGAACATTAATTTAAAAATATTAAAGCCAGATACATTAATTTTTGCTTTTAGAACGAATTTCTTGAATGCCCAAAGGTAAGTTAAGCAACCAGTTCCTTCTCACTGCTCATCAATGCAGTTATCAGCTCTTTTGAGACATATTCCTTCCCCAGACTTGTTCCTGTTTGCTGAATATTCCCTATCCCATGCTCAGATTCCTGCTAATGGTCAAAAATTACTATTTTCCAGCCAAAAAACAGTTGCCCAGGGATCCTTTAAAAAAAAAAAAAAAAAACTCAAAGTACATAAATCTGTCTTTTCTGTGAGAGAAACTGACAAACTGATTTAGATGTGCCTTTTCTATGAAATCCTGATTATACTTTCAGCAAACAAACAAAAAAAACCCAGTCTCAAGTAGAAATTTCAGGCTGAAGCAAACACCAATGCATGGAAAATTCCGCCAAAGGTTAGAGTCTCGTCAAAATCCTGAGGAAAAGAAAGCACTGAGCTATGACAGAAAGCATTGAGCAATTGTAATGGGAGGTATTGCTACTGTGCTGCTTATAAAATAGATGGTATTTTAAAATGTTCTAAGAATATTTGAGAAAAAGACATTAGTCATACAGAGTAAGGAGGTTGCAGGATGAATTACTTAAGAATGAAGGGTGATATAACGAGGAGGGTTGGTCTAATATTAGACTAGGACAGATTTTAATTAGGAGTCAGGAAAACATACACAGTGATGAGTCAACTGGACAAAGTACATCTGCCATGGAAGTGGCTGAGGCATCAGAAAATGTGGCATTTCACACCAGACTCAGTGCAGGAAGAGGGCACACAAAAGGCAGGAGTTATTTCTACAGCTTTTGTAGAAAGAAGGGTACAATTCTGGAAAGCTTTTCCAGTTCTTCTAAGATACTAACACTGCTTCCTAAGACTTGGATCTTGCCATGCTCTGAGCATGGTGCCTCCAAAATGCATTTCAATTGTTCTACTGTGAACATCCACATTGTCCCAGATGACTTCAGAGCAACTGTTCATTTTTTCAGCAGGCAATGCTACATCAAATAAAGTCCAGAGGGTTCAATACCATTTGGAATTAAGGAGTAAGAGATATAAAATCATGCATCCTGCGCTATTCTGGGTTACAACCTGAATGAACCACACAGTACAGGAGCTCAGAAAGCTGGAAAAAAGACACAGGAGAGAAGATTTTTAAGAAAAAACTTTCTGACAGCTCCTTAAGTAAACCAGACAAACAACAGTACACTACATTGTTTGGGATTCTACACGATCACGCAGATCTGGTTTGCTCGTGCTCTTTGAACTGTAGACACAGCAGTCTGCATCAGTGTACACACAGCAGCAAATCACCCAAAACACATGCACAGGTCTCTCACAGAATACAGATTAAGGTACATACATATTCAAGGGCTTGAATACAAACCACTCTCTGAGAGGTTCCTCTGCATTTTCTTCACATCATCCTTCTGTCCTCATGTATAACAAAGTACAGATAGTTGAGAATGTCCTCAAAATTACAAGTTCATAGCCTTCAGAGTAGTGCAAATCCAGCAACATTGCATAAAGCACTTCTAGTTGCTTCCTGCCTGACAGTGTAGCTTTCCTGTGCTGTTTTATACTGCTACTGAGACTGCAGAGCATGTCATTTTTCCCTTTTAGCACTTTTTTAATCAATCTGCTCAGCCACATAAGTGGAAAGAATTAGCAATAAAAAAAATAAGCACATTAGTTTTAAAAACAGGTTGTAAAACACAACAGACAAATAGGTACATTAAAATTTACTTATTTTCACTAGACTCAGATTTATCTTTATATCAATTTTCCTGTTTTAACATAATAACATGCACTAGTGTTATCTCCTTGAAGTCTCTGTTTGGTACCCAGGCAAGCTTTGAACTCTCCTTCATAAATACTAGATGAAAGAGTTCATCCAGGCTATCTCAGTTCATGGCTGCATTAATGATTACTTTTCAAATGAACTCTGGATATTCACACTGAATGCTTAATCTCAGGCTTGAAATATGAAGTTCTATATAAAAAATTCTTAATGCCTCCTTTCACATGAAAATTCACAGGAGCAGGCATTAAAAATTGACATTTAGAGGCTGCCTCTTGCCTCCTCCCTGCCCTACACAGTGTAACACTTCTCCCAAATCTACAGATCTCCACTCTCCTTCAGAAAACCACTGATGTCCTTGACCCATTCTGAGAAACTTCCTCATCTGCCTAGAAATAGTCCTTGTGCAGGGAAACCTAACAGAAAAACATCCATGCATACATCCCAAATTCTACACTGGCTGAAGACAGCTTTGATTCAGCAGCTGGAAACCAGGCATCCCCACACCTGCAGCCCAGCACCTGCACCTGTGCATGGTTTCAGTACAACACAGGATAATCTGCCCTGACA